GCCTGCGTCTCTAACGCCACGTCTCTAACGTGGTTAGAGCACAGGCAACGATAAGGCACTGTAATAGCGTTCAGAAACGGTTTTGGCCTAAAGGGAATGGACTTTAAGTCTGAATCTAAGGAAAGTAGAAGCGCCGGGATTAGCGAAATATTGACTCCATGCGAGAAGCTGGAATGCAAGAGGAATCGGTCGTCAGGATAAACCTCGCTGAGAGACCGCAGATAGTGACGTAGAAACCCTTCGACTACATTTTCCCCGAATATTTTCTATTTTTTATGTCTAAAAGAAGAAAATTTTAGTTGACGATAGTTTTAGAAGCCAAAAATACATTTTAGCGAGGGGGAACATGAAACAAATCCAGCCACGAGCTTGCGGAATTGCAAAAGTATAACAGCATACTGGCCTAAGCACTATAGCGCAAATTTAGATAGTGAGTTTCATTTAGAGCTCCAAGAAGCAGAAAAAAACGGTAGCGTTCGCAGAGAAGGGAGGAGAAACAAGCTAGCAGTAACAGTATAGAACTAAAGGCATTTCGTTTCTAGCATTCTGTTTCTAGTTTGGACCAGATTGAGATCTGCAGGGAACAATCGATCAAACCTAATATCATTGATATGATTTTTGTTAGGTTTGCTGTCCCTGTTTCTCCAAGGGATGCCAGCAAAACCTTTCAAAGAGGAAGGCAGTGATAAAGGATTGGCAAACTTGGGATTCAAGAGCCAGTATATCAAATAAGCCCTAATGTACATGAAACAATTCACAGCTATCCACATGCAGCCCGGTTGCTACTAATTCACTGAAACACCCGAAACGCTGCTTAAAACTATGTTTTCGAAGACTGCACTCATGAGAGCGCGAAAGCCGAGATATTCCACTAATACTCTTCTCAATTTCCAAAGCTTGCGGTGGTCCTTCCTTCTTTCTTTCCTTTTGTTTCAGTTGATTCGGAGTCACTGGCCCTTCACGTACCAGACAAGGCTGTGAAAGGAGTGTGGGTACTGCTACCCGAAGACCACGTCGCGCTCGCTACCGCGCGCAGGAGCGCTCCTTGAAGAGAAGGGTTTGAGTTTCCAATGGAAGGATGCTGTAGTCGCCGTGGAACCACTGCCGCCTGTCGTGGGAATTCGGGGAGAAGTATCGCCACCCCTGTAACAGTCGAAACGTGACTTCACACCCACTTTCCCAAACCGCGATCCCCACGAAACCACTACCGCGCACATGGTTTCGCAACAATTACTGTAATAGTCCGCTGGAATTCAAACCTAACCCATATGCTGCGCAGGGCGAAAGTGCAACTTATAGGCTTGTTCTCAAAGGCACGGTTCACGATGGAATGGTTACTGAGTTCTCCCCTTAGGAATACTCAGTGGCTCCCATGGGTGGTAGAAGGGACCCTCTCACTCCCCCAATCTCGACGTCCAGGGCATAGTGGCAGCATATTTTAAGCATATTTTACTGACATTCTTTTTTCCTATGCTACTCTTCCTGCTGCCGCGATCCCTTTTTCAATTTCCTACCCCAAGAGGATGAAAAATGGGAGCCGTTTTTGCTGTAACTAAGTTTTTTTTTGCTACTTATGCTTACAAGTGAATGAATTTTTGCTTACCGTAGTTAGTTATTTGCACCAGGACTCACACGAACGCAATGATGCACTGTGCGTAGCTCCTCCAACGCCCCACTTCTCTTCATTCTTCTGGTCTCATTCTTCGCTTAGGAAACACCGACCCACGCAGTTCCTTTGCCTCCATTGCACTACTTTCCATCTTATCTTCCTTTTTTTGTCACAATCTGGGTTACTCAAAATTATCTTGAACTATGCCTTAAAGGGCATGCAGTGCGTTGAGCATTTCGTTTGAAAGATCTCCCGCCCTCGGTCGCATCCCATGTTTCCAGGTTGAGTAAACCTCGACTAGTAGTGAATGTTATCACGCATGTCGCGCCGTTCGACGATAGTCTCATTGTCAGTCGTTCGCCATCATCACCGTCAATTGCATCATCAACTCTAAACGTCTCCAACGCAGCCAGCTTATTCCATAACACGTTTTCTGTTTCCATTCCATTGCTCCACGCTTATACCATCGCAGCCCATCTACTTCCCCCACGGTATAGGGAATACTCTCTATGATAGTTCTTAGTATTTAGCATGGTTGATTATTGGTTGTGATTATTTTGTATGTATATTGTATTGATAGATTGTGGATGACTCATCTTGTAAGCTGAGCTCAACGGCTGATCAGTACTGTGGAATGTAATCATAGCTTATCATTGTCATTGCCCCGCCCATAATCCACCGTATATAAGAACGGTGGATGGCTCTGAGATTCAGTCGTTCTCCTTCTTGTGGTCTGCTTGTATATAGGGTAATATACCCAATAAGCTTATAACGCGTCAGGAGTTCCACGAATACGAACCACCGGCACACACGGAACATCAAGTCGACCGACTTGCAGTACCACGGGTTAGTGTTGGAGAACATCAAGTCGACCGACTTGCAGTACCACGGGTTAGTGTTGGACGTCAAGGTGCCGGGAGGATTGGACCCTCGGATGACCCTAGACTTAGCTTGGTCGAGCATGGTTACCGACCACAGGTTCTGAACAACTTTGTCTATGTTTATTTTATCGAAGAGTTTTTTTTCTAGTTTTTCGTTCTTATTACTCATGCTGCATCATTGATTGTTGCTGCATTTTTTAGTACAACTCATAAACAGTATATTTCTGTGCTAGGTGTCAGGTCGAAAACCTATCAAACTGTACGCTGAGTGAGCTTAGAATAAGACTCCTGTAGAGGTCACCCGGCTCAACCGTCGTACAGCTATGCACCGATGCGACGGGGACTTATGACAGCGTAGCGATAACGAGAAAGATTATCTCATTAGAACGTTGGTCAATTTAGATTAATGCCTCTAAGCCCGTCATATTTTATTTCTTACAGACATGCACGTCTTTGGAGAGGACGCACTTCCGTCGGCCTCTACTCAACTCAGAAATCTTTGGAAGAAACACACTGAACACATTTTAGTGGTGACTTAAGCGGCGAGTGTTGCTACTAGCCCACAGAGTGTAAGAACTTGCACTCAATCGACGTTCAGCGCTCAAAGTGCTCGCCGCTGTACTGGGCGCGCTCGCTTACTGCTAGAGAAAACGTCCAAAACTATATCCACCTTCAGAACTACAAGGCACGTCGAAATTTCGCTTCAGAGACCCGTAAAAATCCACCGCCCTTGCTCGATTACAGGTTGTTGATCAGTCGCCTTCCCGGGGCCTTGTTCTCTTGATTACCGCGTGCTCCGCCTTCACATCACTCGGTTGGAAAAATCTCCGCAGCTTACTATAATTTGAGAGTGGCTTCTTTAAGTCACAGCTTTCTGACTTCTGGACAAAAGGAATCAGTGACGCGCTTGGGGCATAAGAGAAGGCTGCGATATATTCATTGAATATATTTCAATATTTGATTAATTTGGAAAATTCTAGAACATAATTCAAAATGACCTTTCTCTTGTCGAAGAGTTTTCTTGCCAGGGTGATGTGTGAGGAACGCCTCTGGAGATCTCACCAACGTACTTCCTTCCTGATCTGCAGCTTTAGAAGGATTTCTGTACGAGCATGAAGGTAGAAAAAAGAAAATGTGGGCTCCTCGTGGATCTGGTTGCTGCTTTGAGTTGAAGTCTGATGCCTCTGCACGCTCGATGATCGTCATTGCAGGCTACATCTCACTTAAAAGTAGATTCATCGTGATGAACGCACAGTGGTGGAAAGCCGCTTTCTAGAAGAGGAAGCTATTTGGATGGACTTTCACAGAATCTTGAAGGTTGCATCAAAAATAGCCTGTTTTCACCGTATCAGACCATCGCCATGTTTCGCTAGAGTATTCCGAGTTGCTAGTAGCTGGTAACTGCGCTGACTGAATTTGTTGAGCAGCAGTAGCTGGTAACTGCACTGGCTGAATTTGTTGAGCAGCAACACTGCTGCTCTGCTCCGACTGACTCGAAGGAACCTGGAGCAGGTCTTCTCTTACTGTAATCAATCCGAACATATTATACAAAGACTAGCAAGGATACCGTCGATTTAGATTCATCTGAATTATCGGTTTCGGTATCTGAAGGAGGTGACGAAGAAATTTTCATGACTTTGATAGGTCCAACAGTGGATTGTGGCGTTGGATCCTAAAAATGAGATTAGGACCTAACCCTACTACAAAGGAGTAGTCTGTGAACCAATAACCACCCGTAAAGACACATACCACAACCGCTTTCATTTCCAATTCTGCGGTCTGACTCTGTGGCGGACGAAGATGCAAATTTTTCAAATCGATGGCAAGTCTGCG